CTATATAATGTAAGGTCTAAGTGAGAATTATTGAGGTTTAATGGTGATCACATCACATCACATGCATACTCACTCTCTTTAGTTTGAACTTTTGGTCAAACACTAATCAAGCCTAATTTGCCTGCCTTTATCATATGCGTCTCCTATGCTAGTCTGTCCCACCAATTAGAGCCCATGTATGTGTGCAAAGAAAATGAATAGAAATTTTAAATATATGAAGTAGTTCAATTTTTTCAGATGATAGTTTTGTTATAGGAAAATGTTTGGTAGCTCAAATTTTTGTGACTCAAATGGCTTAAATTTGTTAAAACGACGTCGTTTTACACTCAAAATCTGTCAAAACGACGTCTTTTTGATAGATTTGAGCCATTTAAACCACAAAAATTTGAGCTACCTAGCATTGTCGTTTGTTATATTGACAAATTTTAAACAGTTTGTGAGTATTTTCAAAAAAGCTAAAAAAAAAGAGAAGAAAAAGAAAGGTGGTGGAAGCTGTTCACACCAAATTGGATGCTGACATTATATAATAGGGAGCTTTTTTTTTTTTTTTTTATAAGTTTTCTTTTTAAGAGTTTTACTCTATTCGATTTATATTTTTTTTTACAATTCCATTATATCTTATTTGAGATAAAAAAATCAAAACACCCATAATTTCTCATGCCCTCTATTAATGTTGATATTTAATATCGATTGTTATTATATTTTGATAGTTTCTATACATCAGGATATTGACTGTCATTATATTCATATTAATTTGAAATGAATTTTTGTCATTGTGTTGTCAATTATATGATGTGAATATTCACATCATTATATTTACATTAATTTGAAATAAATTTTTCTCATTATGTTGTCAATTACATGATGTGAATATTCATACTAAAACATACAAATGTGAACTTTCACATCTACATGTTGTGAATAAGAATGTGTTGTCAATTAAAAATATAACATGTTGTAAACATTCACATCACTACATTAGATGAGAGAATTTTTTGAAAATGTGTTGTAAACGTTCACATCAGATGAGAGAGAATGTTCACATTATTTTTAATGTGTTGTCAATTAAAAATAAAAAGGTTCACATATTGAGAACGTTCACATCACTACATTAGATGAGAGAGAATTTTTTAAAAATGTGTTGTGAACATTCACATTAGATGAAAGAGAATATTCAAATTATTTTTAATGTGTTATCAATTAAAAATATATTCACATCAAATGAGAGAGAGTATTCACATTATTTGTAAAGTATCGTCAATTAAAAATATATTCATATTGTATAATAATATAAAATAATAACATCAATGTTATTTAATTTGTATATGAAATTTCCTATGCCTTTGTCCATTTCCTTCTCTCTCCACATTAAATATCAATATTAAATATAAGGGCATAAAAGTCTAAGAAAATAATATAAATCAAGAAAAAGAGATTTTATGGAATAAAAATATAAATACATGAGACTAAATCAATTAAAAAAATTCTTTAATAAATTTCTTGAATTAGAATAATTTTAAATGAAATTTATTAATAAAAATCTCTATATAATAATATAGATATTAGATGATACTTGAAGAGTATCATGGCCTTTTCCTTTTTGTTTTTTGTTTTTTGTTTTTTTTTTTTTTTTTGGGATAGTAAGGCAAGTTATGAAATTTATAGTAACTATAAACTATTGATTTTGCCTTTTGATCACGTGTTGCTACATCATTAAATGAAATTGAGAGTATCTGAATTATCTCATAATTTGCCTTGAGATGATGATAAAACCCTCATTTTTAGTTATAATTACAATATGGGATTGGCTACCCTTCGATTCGTGATCAAATTGAATGGTGTTATTAGATTCAAGAGAGCTCATCATAGGTCCCGTTTTAATAATTCGAACCATTCACGAGTTTGAGTTAAGCCAGAGGGCATGAGTTTGAGTTCAGCCAGCGGGCTTCGTTTTGCTAGAGGGCAACAGCCAGAGGGCTTCAGAGTTTGAGTTTGCTAGAGAGCAACAGCCAGAGGGCTTCGAAGTTTGAGTTTGCCAGCGGGCAACAGCCAGAGGGCTTCAGAGTTTGAGTTTGCTAGAGAGCAACAGCCAGAGGGCTTCGAAGTTTGAGTTTGCCAGAGGGCAACAGCCAGAGGGCTTCAGAGTTTGAGTTTGCTAGAGAGCAACAGCCAGAGGGCTTCGAAGTTTGAGTTTGCCAGAGGGCAACAGCCAAGAGGGCTTCAGAGACTAAGTTTGCCAGAGGGCATCAGCCAGAAGGCTTCAGAGAGATGAGCTTGCTAATGAGCAGCAGCCAGAGGGCTTTTGTTTCGCCAGAGGGCACAGTATAGAGATACTTCAGTGTATTGAAGATATCAGCCAGAGGGCTTTGAGCTTGCCAGAGGGCAATGTTGAATCATTTTGAGGAGCAATTGATGATTGCATTGAGTCGACGAGGGCGTCGACAACTCGAGTGGAGGAGGAAGTCGCGATGCGACAACCCACTGTGAGTTTGCTCAGAGGAGCTTGAGTTTGCTCGGAGGAGCATTGGCAGAGAGGCCATTTTGAGATTGCTCGGAGGAGCATTGGCAGAGAGGCCATTTTGAGATTGCTCGGAGGAGCATTGGCAGAGAGGCCATTTTGAGATTGCTCGGAGGAGCATTGGCAGAGAGGCCATGGCGGTAGCTCTTTGTCCGAAAAGGTTAATGCCGGGGAACCTCCTCCCGGAAAAGCCAGCCCAACCAGCTGTTCAGGCGTGGTGTCTATGGAGAGTTTGGACTTGTCCATAGCAGATAGGACAGCTTCTCTGTGTACTCGTGATGCCATTAGCAGCCCCCAGATGGAGATGTCTGCCTGTATTTTCTTCAACTGTTTCAGCACAGCTTCCTCTTCAATCTGCTTCTCCTTCTGTCTCTCCGCTTCTCTGTCTTTCCCGGACGCCTCGGGCTGGTCCAGGTGTGGGGGTTTGAAGTACCGCCCACTTCTTGTCATATGGTCCACTTCATCGAGGCACCAAGTATCATCCGACTGGTTATTCCCCCAGTCTTCATCGGTGTGGGCAAGACACAAATCGTCATCTTCCCACCACATTCCACTGGCAGCCAACAAACATCTGTCCGGCTCCGGTCTACTCGTACTCTCAGTGCTTTCTGTCCATAAGCTCGCAGCATTGTTTGTCTTCGTGCACACAGCACTTTCGGTCCTCTCAGGGCCCTTTGCCTTTCTGGCTCTCTCAGTAGCCTCAAACTCCTCTTGTTCCAACTGCGTTAGTACAGCTGGTTGCTCAACAGTTCCTGTATCTACAATGCCCATGTCCCGAGCGGAATTATTAACACCGGCGCTCTCCGGCGGTACAACTTGATTTTCGGCCGTTCCGGCCACAACTGATATTTCTGCCCCTGCCGGGCTCTGTTCTGATTGGGCTTCCCCCACTGCATTCGGTTGATCTTCGAGCCATCCCGTGGTCTCCTCTGATTCCTCATAATCATACCAGTTAATCGATGCATCCCCCAGCTCCTGGTCCTCAAGAAATTGCAAGTCAGCAAAGTCCTCTTCTACGGCTGTCAGCTCATCTGCCCATAACTCAGATCCCTCTCCTCGGATCATGCATAGTTCTCCTGTCTCGGGAAATTCTACACTTAGCCCTGTTCGGCTCGTTGATAGGATGTACTTGCTTGGATCATAGGCTCCCTCAACAAAATTCTGCCCAGTCCCAGATTCAACAGACTCCGTCTCTCCTAAAATCTGCCCTGCCCTGTCTTCGACGGTCACCACCATCGGTTCCGGTTGGGTTTTGGAGATGTCCACCATGCACAAGAAGTCAGTGCAGTCGGGGAGGAGCACCTCCGGCTTGGGTAGGTGGGTAGGCGTGATATAGATGCTAGGATCGTAGGATGCGACCCCAGTCTGGATGAAATTAATTCTTTTGGGAGGAGGAGCTTGGTAATGTGGTGGGAGAGGGTTGGTTGTAACGTTAGGTTTATCAGGGGGCGCGATCACCTGTTTGTCAATAAGATCTTGAATCTCATGACGCAATCTGTAACAACGGTCGGTGTCATGACCGTGCTGTTGGTGGTATGCGCAGTACCTTGACGGGTCGTAAGAGGGGGGGAGTGGATTTGGTAATGGCTTTGGCTCCAGGGGTTTTAAATGATTTTTCCTGATCAATATTCCCAGAACTTTGGTCAGAGGCATATATAGTGGAGTAAAGGTTCTTTGGCCTCGGGGTTGGAATCGGCTGTTTTGTGAGTTGCTCCCGGACGCGCCGGAGAATGGTGTGGCAGTCGTGGGTCTTAGAGGGGGAGGGGGAGTGGTGGTGACCATACTAACTTCCGAGGCCCTTGTATTTGCAGCGCCGCTCGGGCCTGCATTGTTATTGTGGTTGAAGGTCCTCCTCGGTTGCTCTCTGTCCTGGTCAAACAGACCTTGTCTCATAGCATCTTCTATTTGCACCCCCATATCATGTAAATCTGCGAAAGTAGGGAAGGGGACCACAATCATCCTTTGCATTAGCTTCGGGTGGAGATTGCGCACAATCATTCGAATTTGATCTCTGTCAGTGGACCTTAGAGTCATCGTTGACGCCTTTGCCCTCCATCGGATCACAAAGTCCGAGAAAGATTCCTTAGGCTCTTGCCTTGTCGTTTCTAGATCACGGGTTGTGATCTCGATCTGAGTATTATAGGAATATTGTGTGACAAAGGCCTCAGCCATCTCATCCCAATTCTTCTTCACCTCATCTGATAATCTTGCGTACCAATGGGAGGCCACACCCGACAGGGTTCGGCCGAATAATGAGAGCTTCTGTTGTCGTGTAAGGCCCATTGGCCGCAAGACATCCGCAAACAGTCGGATATGGACCATGGGGTCACCGGTCCCATCAAAACGGTCGATTTATGGCATTTTGAATTAGGACAGCTTCTCTTTGCACTCGTGATGCCATTAGCAGTCCCCAGATGGAGATGTCTGCTTGTATTTTCTTCAACTGTTTCAGCACAGCTTCTTCTTCAATTTGCTTCTCCTTCTATCTTTCTGCTTCTCTGTCCTTCCCGGAAGCTTCAGGTTGGTCCAGTGTTTGATCAACCTCGACCTCGGATGGAGAGTCCGGGTGATTGGGTGTATGGACCTTGGACAGTTGTGGTGGAATCGGGGGCGGGGCTGACCCCGTTGGAAGACTTGTGTCCTCTTGCAGATTTTGGATAGTCGGTATAGTATTCTGGGTGTTTGGAGGGATGTCCTGAATAACAGGAGCCTTCTCAGGTAATGGGGGTCCTGTCGGAGGAGGAATTTGGTGTGAAGCAGATGCTGTGCTCTGTTGTTGCAGTCGGGTGATAAGCTCAGCCTGTTGGGTCATAATCTCAGCTTGTTGCTTAGCAAGCTCATCCCGGCGGACAGCATCTTGCTGCATGGCCCGCATAGTTTCCTGCATCTGGCGTATCATTTCCTCAACTCTTGTCGGTGTTGTCATACTGCTTCGATATGTCTGAACTACTGGCAGATTTGTCTCAATGAGGGTCTCAGTCCAACTGTCCACTGATGGGGGGAACCACTGTTCTGGTGCTCTCAGTTCAGATGTACTGCGCTTTCTCTGCTTCCTCTTGGTAACAGGGGGTAGAGAATAGAACACTGGCTGTCCGTCGATTAGATCCTCAGATCGATGGAGTCGACGACCTCGTGTCCAAGGTGCTTGGGGAATGCCTGCTGGGTTGGAAGCAATCGTGCTAAAACTGACCTAGCAAAAGATAAATAAAGCGAAAAGGAAATAAATAAACAGATAAACGGACAGCACAACAGCTTAAAATAAAATGCATGACACGCAGTCGGGCACAATCAACCATGAGACTAAATCAATTAAAAAAATTCTTTAATAAATTTCTTGAATTAGAATAATTTTAAATGAAATTTATTAATAAAAATCTCTATATAATAATATAGATATTAGATGATACTTGAAGAGTATCATGGCCTTTTCCTTTTTGTTTTTTGTTTTTTGTTTTTTTTTTTTTTTTTGGGATAGTAAGGCAAGTTATGAAATTTATAGTAACTATAAACTATTGATTTTGCCTTTTGATCACGTGTTGCTACATCATTAAATGAAATTGAGAGTATCTGAATTATCTCATAATTTGCCTTGAGATGATGATAAAACCCTCATTTTTAGTTATAATTACAATATGGGATTGGCTACCCTTCGATTCGTGATCAAATTGAATGGTGTTATTAGATTCAAGAGAGCTCATCATAGGTCCCGTTTTAATAATTCGAACCATTCAATGTGTAGAACTCATCGAATACTATATGTCTGTAAAAATTCACGTTGATTGGATATCGATAGTTATTTCATCGGATCAAATTTGTGTCAACTGTTTATTTTTTCACCGTCCATTTTTTTAAGGCGAATTATACTAACAATCTCTATAGTTTGGGGCTCGTGTCACTTTAGTTACTTTTCAATTGTGACACATTTGACCTTGAATTATGAATCTTATTTCAAATAAGGACAATTAAAGACACCATTGCTCAATTTAAGGGCAAATCATTAATTTGATAAAATATAAACTAATTTGACAAAAATAAATATCAAAAAAATATTTTTAAATTTTTAAAAATTATTTCTATCCACCAAATATAATTATGTAAAATTGATAAATCTTTTATATATTTATTTATTTATTTATTTATTTTTACCAAATTAACTTTTATTATATGTTTGGATAATAATCATGTAATGGTTGGTTTTTTTTTTTTTTTTTTTTGATGCCTTTTGATGATTATTATGTAATAAATTGTTGTATTGGTTGTTAGAAGATATTTTTGGACGATTATTATGTAATGGATGATTATTAGACTTTTAATATGTAATCAATATATTAAACATATGAAACGTTTTTTATTTTGGATTTTTTGATTTAATAGATTAATTTAATAATGATATCAAAGTTGTCTTCATAGGCCCATTTTGGAAAAATAGAAACTAATTTAACGAAAATAAAAACAACCACCTATTACATGATCATCATTCAAACATATATTAAAAGTTAATTTGTTAAAAATAAATAAATATGTAAAATATTTATCAATCTGATATAATTTTATCTTTGGCGGGTATAAATAATTTTTAAAAATTAAAAGATTAATTTTTTGATATTTATTTTTGTCAAACTAGTTTATATTTTGTTAAATTGACCACTTTACCATTGAAATTAAATAATGGATTTTCAATTGCCCTTATTTGAAACAAGATTCAAAATTAAGGGTTAAATGTGTTGCAATTGAAAAGTCAGTGACTAAATTGACACAAGCCCCAAACTATAGGGACCGTTAGTGTAATTCACATTTTTTTTATACAAAATTAATTTGATCACGTAGCTATCAATATCCAATCAACATATTTTTTTTACAAGTATATAGTACTTAACAAGTTTTACAAATTGAAATAGTTCAAATTATTAAAACAAAACCCGTGGTAGGCTCTTGTAGGCCTAACAATACCTTCCGGTCCGATCACGGACCGGAGGGAAGCCAAACCCTTACTACATTTCATTTACAACAATGCTGCTATGTACATTCAAATATTAAGACTAAAGGATGAGCTTGGTGGATGAAATGTTTTCTTATTAGGTGTAATGGTTAGATTCAAGTATGTTAGGTTGAGCAACTTCAATAGCAAATGTTATTATAATTTGTCATTGTTATAATTTAACAATAAATAATAGTAAATTGCCAAATTATGCCAATAGTGTTCCAATGGTCATTTGTCATTTTGGCAGACCATTTCACCAAACGCACAAAAAAAGAAACATAGAAATTGGTCCATTGAACGTCCAGTGGACCAATTTTTGCGTTTCTTAGACACAAGTTTTGACATTTTTGAAATATAATAGCTGCTATAAAGTGCCATTGGAGCACATTGTATTGGAAGAGCTGCCCAAATTATGGCAATAGTAACCATTGGAGCCCCTCTAAGTTTTCATTCTCCTAATTCACTTCTCCAAAAAAAAAAAAAAAAAAAATCAAAAATCAAAAATCAAAATTTTCCATAATAAAAAAAAAGATTTTTTTTCAAAGTATTTGTTTAAATATAATTTAGACAATAAAATAAATCTAAAATAATTTATTTTCTCAAAATTTCAAAAATTACATCTACATACTTTCAAAAAATGCACTGCAATTATAAAAGGAAAAATAACAACGTAGTGGTAATAGGAAAAAAAAAATACAAAATCATGAAAAAATATAACATTTTAGTTCTTAAAGTGTATAAACTTTATAACTGATTTGTTACCAATATGTTGTTATTTTCCCATTATAAAATGAGGCACATATTTTTAAGGTTTGCACATACTCCTTATTAATCCCCAAAAAAAATAAAAAAAATAAATAAATAATCCTTCATTTATTTCTGTGCAAATAACTGTGATGTGGCCATTCTTAACAACAACAACAAAAATAAAATAACACCCCCATGTAGGACCACCCTGTGCCCTAACCATCGGGTATTTATTTATTGACTTTGAGACAATTATCATTAGGATTTTCTCAATCCTGCCTACGAATAATGGGACTGTAGAATTGGGCCACTACTTTTGATTACATAATTATTTTTGGGCCCAATTGGAATCTGAAACGAATATATATGAATTTGCTAAAGAATAATGCTAGGGAGCTGTATTGTAGCAGCTTTGCTTCGTGACTCTAATGGGTGCCTAGTGGAAGGATTGGTTCACGAGATTGCTATTCATTCTGTAGCCCAAGGGGAGGCTCTAGCCATTAGGGTCGCCTCTCTAATGGCTCTCTCCTCGAACCTTACTAGGGTGGTTATTAGCGTACGGTGCAGCCCATTGTATAGCTCCAGCTTCTTATGAAGGATCTCTTCTTTGTTTTTGGGTTGCATTGTATTCCCCCTGATGCTCTTGCTTTAATTTTGAATGAGTAATAATGATAGTTATTGTGGGAATATATTTTCTGAGCATCAACACGTGGTTAAGGTGATGCCGACGTGTTAGCCGAGGTGCCACGTGTCCTGGTCATGACGCCGAGGTGATCTCGGCGAGGCCGAGGTTACCTCCGAAGATATCGGAATCCGAAATAAGCGGATAAGGCACAAGAGTCCTAGAAAGGGGAAAGACTACAATTGGAAAAGGATAAGACTCTAAGGGAGTTTATCCCAATCCTACTGGGGGTCCAAGATTAATAGTAATCCTAAGTCCATTAGAGCTAGGCTCCTGTTAGGACAAGGATTGAGTTAGTTATAAAAGAGAGGCAGCCCCGTGAGTCTAAGGTACACAATTTATATTCTGATTAGTGATCCTAGAAAGGGGAAAGACTACAATTGGGAAAGGATAAGACTCTTAGGCCATGTTTGTTTGGGCGGACTGGATTAGTATTCCCATGACTAATAGTCCTAGGATTATGAATCCGTTGGATTATGTATCCTATCTTAACTATTAGTCAAGTTTAAAATAATTAGTCCGTACTTCAATTGTTTAACCAAACATCGGATTAATAATTTTATTGGACTATTAGTCCAATCCCAAGCTCATGTGCACCCAAACAAACATAACCATAGGGAGTTTATCCCAATCCTACTGGGGGTCCAAGATTAATAGTAATCCTAAGTCCATTAGAGCTAGGCTCCTGTTAGGACAAGGATTGAGTTAGTTATAAAAGAGAGGCAGCCCCGTGAGTCTAAGGTACACAATTTATATTCTGATTAGTGAGATTAGCACTATTAATTATCTTTGAGAGATATACTGACTTGATCGTCAGAATGCCCTCGAGTGGACGAGCCACCGCCAGAATCTTCTCTTTCTGTTGCAGGTCAGCCAGGTGTCATCTATTCTGCCAGTGTTCTCTAGCTGAATACTGAGTTGGTAGTATGGTCGGAAAATTACTCACACAATTTGGCACCGTCTGTGGAAAAGAAAAGAGAATAGATGGCCAGTAACGGACAGAAGGAAAAGATTGGGGACGACACTCCTGCTGGGAGTGGGAGACCTATTGACCTTGATGTCGAAAGAGACGAATGCAACGCAGAAACTCGTGACCAGAATCACGGAGTGAAAGACGTCGGCCAGACTGGCAACGCACCAAAGAAACCCGATCGAAGTGGATACTACACGAGGACGACCTCCAGGTATGGAAGGATAGGTACCTGCGGAGGGACGAAAAGGTAAAAGAGATGGCAAACAAATTGGCAGACCTGCAGTCAGTCGGCAATTTCATGATGCAAAATAACGTCATGCAGCCACCGTTCCCGTTGCAAGACACGCCGATTCCAGCGGCCAATGCCCAGAAAGGAGGGCAGAAAACAATCCCCGTAGCCCCTCAGCACAACGGGAGTGAAAGATACTCTCACCGACCTTCTAGGGAAGTCGGACGAAGAGAGTCAAGAAGAGAAGAATCACGGAGGACGCATCGCACAAAGGAGGCAGACCCCAAAGGACATCGGCATGTTCAGGGGCAAGCGCTATGATTCGACACAACTCATGGAGAAGGGTCAAAGAGGACTCACCACGAAGCTGAAAGTAGTGCATCAAAAAGACTGAAAGCAGGAGATAGCCGAGCTCCTGGGCGGACAAAGGAGGACTTAAGAGT